TTTTTTTAAAATGTTATCTGAAAATCGTCTAATAACGTGTCATTGTGCTTTCATACTTGAGAATAGGCTATGTTTTTAAATATGACTTTACATTTTATGTAGCAACATTGAATGCTACTTTAATGTTCTTTCTTCCCATTTTGTATTCCAGTTGCTATTGAAGTTTAGGTGACATCATGTTAGATACCTGTGTATGTTAGATATCAATCGATACTTAAGGGAACATTATTAGCCTTACCTTCTAAGAATTTAACCCTTTTTAAAAAAAAAAAAAAATCTGGGTCTAAAACCAGTTTACGGGTTAAGATGAGCATGGAACAATGTTGGATTAAGAAATGCTAAACATAAATTGCGATTAACTGTTAAAAGATGCAGTAAAATATTAAGAGAGGGATTGTTCACATCAATTGTTTTCATTAATTTTTTAGATTATTTTTTATCAGACAATCTCTTTAAAACATTACAAACTTGTACATTCTGAAGCTATCTCTATACGTTATAAAGCTTGCTTTAGTCTTATGGAATAGTGTACATGTAAACTGCCGGCCACTTTCCTAAATCTTACACGTGAGTAAGTTAGGATTGTAAGTGCCCATAAGAGTTCTACCAGGGCTCTGGTACCCGGCGCTGGAATAGTTCGCCTGCCACTTACAGTCCGGTGTTTGTGTGTCCTCAGGTCCTTCCCCATGCACTTTGACGAGAAATCCATGTTCTCCGGTGACAAGAAGGGGGCCAAGTCGCTCAAGGTAAAGCTTGCTGATTGGGGAACCAGGTGGGAGCGTTTGCTGGTTGTTTCTTGGTGTTCCTGAAATGAAATGATTTAGCCACAACTCTATTTTAGTTTTGGAAATCAGTTTTCTGCTATACAGTTTCAAATAATTTTCTTCTTCATGGTTGAAAAACAACTCATCCTATAGAATAAAAGCCTAATATGTGAATCATCCGAATGACCGGTGAAACAACTGGTCAACACGATGCACGCTGACCACCAGGGGGCAGACGCTCAATGCAGGAGCTACCCCCAGCCTGCAGGACCTAGACCAGCCAAGACGGGTGCCAGCAGGGGGTCCTTCTCTCTGCTCCGATTGCCCCGCTGGTTGGTCGCCCTGCAGATCAGCCCTGATCACAGGCCAAGCCTAGGGACCCTACCCATGCACGAATTTCATGCATTGGTCCTCTAGTTCACTAATAAATTTCAAAACTTTTATTTCTTATAATTCAGACTAACAACAGTTTCCTGTTAAATGTCTGATTAGAATGCACATGTTTTCTGCACGTTAGGAGGAATTCCGGCTGCATTTCAAGAACATCTCTCGCATAATGGACTGCGTCGGGTGTGACAAGTGCAGACTCTGGGGCAAGCTGCAGGTTTGTGTGTTGCCTTCTGCTTGAAACCATTGCTAACCTTTCATTTTCCCAGAGGAGTTGAAACTTTTTATTAAAATGCTCTCATTCATTGGATTAGAGACCCGAAGTGTGGTTTTTCTGTGTTATAGATGAAAAAGTTAGTATTAAACTCTTGGCTTTTATGTGTATGTGTAAGGATTTCCTGTTATTGTATGTTAGTGGTTTGGTTTCAGTGTGTCTGTTTCCATTGGTAGAATCTCAGATTCATTTCTGAAGTTGGGGGTTATAAATAAAGTACATTAGTATTTCATATACCCACATCATAGGTAAATATCTATCTATCTATATATATATAAAAGCCTAATATGCAAATTGTCTACTCAGGAGTTTGATTGGGAGACTGGGAGTTTCATCACTCACTATGATGTGCGCTGACCACCAGGGGGCGGTGCAGGACAAAGGAAAGTCTGGCTGGCAGATGGCAGCCAGGAAAGGAAGGCCCTGGCCGGCAGATAGAAGTCCCTGATTGCCAGCCAGCCAGGCCTAGGACCTACCCACGCACAAATTTCGTGCACCAGGCCTCTAGTAATAATAAAAAAAGATTGAATCATGAAGTTTGGTTACTGAGTCTGTTTCAGTGATGAAAAGAAGGTCACCTCGTCACAAAAGAGGAAAGTTCTGCCAAGCAGGCTCATTTCTCTCCACATCCTGCCTAAAAAGGATTGATATTTTGTGGGGTTTTGTTTTGTTTTTTTTTTTTACAAAGATGACAAGTCAGAACATCAGCCAACAGAATTATTCTAAGGGCAGCTACACAGAAATCAGAATCTTTATTCTTTCTCTAGTGTTTATAATTAAGAAATTACTGAGTGTAGGTCCGCTAATAATTTTTAAGTTGAGAGTTGCTAGGGCCTAGAAAGGAGGCTTTCGGGATTACTTACTGAACATTGTAATCCTGCTGGGACGCTTTTAAGTAAAAAAAAAAAAAAAAAGGCATGTTAGTGATCTGGGATGGAAGGGTACGCGTGAAGCCATTCAGCACATAAACTTACACGCGCCGTCTTTGAGGAGGCAGAGGCTGCACTTTGTTTTTCGATAAAATGGGGAAGTAAAGTTGATGTGCATTTCCTGACTCCGCCGGTCGCTGAGTTTTCCTTTAAACCTCGAGTAGTTTCGACATGAATGGATCGTCTGTCTCTCTCCCCTTTAGACTCAGGGTTTGGGGACTGCCCTGAAGATACTGTTCTCTGAGAAGGAAATCCAGAAGCTCCCGGAGAACAGCCCGTCTAAAGGCTTCCAGCTCACGAGGCAGGAAATAGTCGCTCTTCTAAACGCTTTTGGGAGGTGAGGACTGACCCTCCGCGCTCATCTCCGCTCAGCTGGGGGCTCTGCTCGGTTGCGTGGACGAGAGAGGACTTTACTGTCAGACCTGTATCACCAGCCCACTCTCCACCGCTCTCCGCATCGGAGTTTGCCCGGGACCCCCGTTTGCCTTCTCCAGTGGGAGGCGGTGGTAGGAGGACGCTCCCCCCCAATAGCACGTTAGTTGAGCGTCACTTGTTCGAGAAAAAGAATGGGGACCGAGAGCTTGGTTGAGAGGTGAGGAAAGAGAGATGAAACTGTTCTTCTTTCTTTTGTTTTTAATCCTCACCTGGGGATGTGCTTATTGATTTTTAGAGAGAAGGAAGCTGGGGGGTCGTGGGGGAGAGAAACATCAGTCGGTTGCTTTCTGCCCCAACGGGGGATGGAACTCTCACCCTAGTCTATGGGACGACATTCCAGCCAACGGAGCCACACCGGCCAGGGCTGCTCCTGTTTCTTAAACCAAAGAGGCATTTTTCTCTTGCTTGTTCTCTTCCCGCTACTTCTGTACACAGATAGACATTCTGCTTTTTGTTGATGTCACAGATGGTTTCCAAATTAATTTGAATTTGCCTACAGAATTACATGCAACACCAGCCTCCTGAGGAATACAGAGCAGGACCAACTAACTGAGTCAGAGAAAATAATACTAAGCTGCCCTGGGAAAAAATGCACAAAAGTCAAGAATTAAAAAAAAAAAAAAAAATAGGGAACCAAGTGATACGGGAATTATTTCTTATATATTCTTAACATGCCTTTTTAAGCTAAATTAAAAATAAGTTAATTGCCCTTTCCCCATATTAGTGGCAAAGTTTCACCATGATGCCTCCCTGCGTTTAAAGTTGGCATGTAAGCAGAGGTTTCAAACAAGGTAGACACAGAATGTCCATCGGCAACTGACATTTCATGAAAAATTCAGTCCACCCACTTATGGGACATGTAGTGAGATAAAGCAGGAGAAACTGAGTTAAATTTAAATTATTCAAAATTAAAAGTAAATGAGAAATATTTTAAAGAATTTAATCATTTTCAATCCAAATAAAAATAACTGAGAAAAAAATTAAACTTCCACCTTCCCCCTGTGGTTCTTCCTGAGAGCCTGCTGTTACCTCTGTTGTTCTCTAGAGGGCGCCAGACTCAGAGCCAGGGCTGCTCTGGCAAATCTATAGAAAGAAAACATTGGATTTGATTGCATCCGCCTTGAGTTGTACAGAAGGATAGCTGAGCTTATAGATCTATTACGTGATTCCCATTCCAGAGTCTTACTGCTTTCATTCACCCATTGTTGATTAGGCACATGGGCTTCAGGCAGACAATATAAACAGGATCCTCGCCCGTAAAGATGGTGGAGCTGACAGCATAAAACAAACTGGTGTGTGTGGGGAGCAGAGAGAAAAGAGCGGGTATTTGGAGAGAAATGGGCAAAGTGAACTTGCAGACTAAATATAAACATCTTAAGGTTCTTTACTGTAATGAATTATAATCATTATAATATCACTATTCCATCATGAATCTCTAATAGGGAATCACAACTTGTTTTGAAATAGAAGCTTCAATGTTCAGTGTTAAATATATCCTTTTAGTTTGGGTTTTGCTTCAATAGTTGCCACTATACAATGTCAGCCATTTGAAATGTGCACACATCTTATTAGCGGTAATAAGTGATGATAATAAACAGCTTTTCCCCCCTCTTCTAGGCTTTCTACAAGCATCAGAGAATTACAGAATTTTAAAGTCCTACTGCAGCACAGCAGGTAATGAAGGCTTTCCTGTGTCTGGTCAGACATAAAGTGACTGTGAGAACTTTACCTCTTGGACCTTCAGCGGAAGGAGATTTCCCTCCGGGACTTCAAGAATCTGAGCTCTTAAGGAGAAATGTAAATGTTCACTTGAATATTTATGATTCTTAATAGACTGTCAACTAGAGGTATTTATAAATGAAGTATATACTTTTAAAACATGCAAGTTATGCTAATTCCGCGGTTAATTTCGTTTCCATCTGTTGAGTATTTTGCTGTGCTGTTGGTTTGGAATCGGTTTTGTTCTTGCCCTGTTATGTCTCATTTCCGGTTGTCAGGCTGTCTCCACCTGGTGACACTGAGCTGGCTGCGATGGGAAGGCCAGGCCGGGAGGGTCAGGGCTGGTCTCGGTGCGGGGCCGGCCTCGCTCTGTCACCTTCTAGCGGGTGGGAGTGCCCATGGGATGAGTGGCCTTGTCAGTGTCCTGTTTCAGAAGTCCCTGAAGAGTCCCCGGGACTCCACATCGCCGGTTTTTGTTTAGGGTTTTAGTTGCTGTTTTGGTTGGTTTGGTCCAACGGCCCTGCTCGGTGAAGGTAAGTACTGAGTGGAGAGCCGGCCCCATGAGCGTCTTCGCTCAGAACCAGATACCAATTCCTTTGATTTTGTGTTTCTTTGTTTCTACTCCAATTTTATAAATGTTCATTTACTCAAAAACAAAACAAAACAAAAAAAAAACCACAATTGCATAAATATTGAGCATTTTCTATCTTGATAGAATTTGAGTGCGAGTTTGTGGATTTATAATGCCAATTTAAAACATTCTGTGCACAAAACTGTTTTCCCTGAAAGGAAACTTCTTCAGGGGGTTTTCCTTTAGAACACAAGCTATGCAATCCTCAGACAGCCCTCGGGTGGATGGCTAAGCAGGTGCCCAGCTCAGACCTAGGCTGCCCACTCCCCACTCGCTCTCTAGTTCTCGGCAGGTCTATGGTCTGTACCAGCAGACAGCTCACTGGCTTCCGCAGCCATTTCTCAGCCCGGATCCAGGTACCCTACACGTGGGAAATGCTGATTCTTCTCAAAGGTGTTAGGAGACAGAAGGTGGCGTCTGTGCGGAAGGAGTGAGGGGACACTCCTCAGTCTGGTGTGAAGCCATAAGTGCCCTTACCCCATGGCTACTGGGCTCAAGCGGAGCCGTGGCCACTGAGCTGGTGGCACGTGTTACAGCCATTGAGTGGCTCCCCCTCCTTTAAAGAGACGCAGTCACTCTTTTCCTTTGTTTTTGGGGCCCAGTGTTGTGTGGCGGGGGAGGGGACCTTGGGGTGAACTGGTTTACAAGTGATGACATCACAGGTAAATTATGTCACGAGAATTCCTCTTAGTGCACATTCAGAGTTCAAGAAAATGTGAAAGTTCTGCACTTTGTTTATTTTTCCTGTAAGCTTAAAATCCTCCTGGTGGCGTGACTTCCTCACTCCCGCCCTGAAGACAAAGCCTGTTGTTTAAACTCCATTTCCTGCAGAATCCTCGGTCATTTCCACGGATTGCTTTTTTCCTGTACTTCGATTTGTTTCAAACTTGGGCAGCAACTGTACACGAGAGTGCGTTCTAGGCGATTCAGGTCTGGTTGGGGTCAAAGCTCTTTTCAAAGTTTAACCCGATGTTTTCTCACTGCCGAAAAAATAAACAAATGTCTATTTAAGCTGAAGTTCACCTGCTTCCCTTATTTCACCATCATTCAGGCTGTGGGGGCATCTGTGTGTGTTTCTGAAGTGGTTCATGTGCTGTACGAACCTCTGTTTTGTGAGCCTGGTGGTTGGTGATCAAGGGCGGAACCCTCGGGGCGCCATCTCTCCAACCCAAGCTCCCTGCCACCTCCCGCTCCCTCCCAGCCATCCCGGAGCCCCTGCTTCCTCTTCCTCTTCTCACCCCGAAGTGAAGGAGGCACCCGGCTCCCCTGCACCCCCTCTTCCCAGGCGAGGGCTCCTGTACGACCACGTCATTTCTGTTCTGGTCCAGACCACAAGCCAACTAGCCGGCCATCATGGTGGCCATGGCCACGGCCACGCTTAGCTCCTAACACTCCTCCTCCAGTTCCCACTGACCGCACTGTCATTTCCAACATACGATTTCAGATTCCTGCCTAAAGATTTCCAGCACACTCACACACACACACACTCATAACTCACATATACACACATTCACATACACACACACACACACACACACACTCAAATATTCACACATTCACATATGCACTCACACATTCATACATGCATTCACACTCACACAATACACACTCATACATATACAGCTCAATCCCCGGCCCTGGTCAGGGGCTGGTGCAGGAGGCAACCAATTAACGTGTCTCTCGCACATCGATGCCTTTCTCTCTGTCTCTCCCTCTCCCACTCTCTCAAAGACAAGACAAAACAAAACAAAAAAAAACAACAATGGAAAAGCACCCCCCCACACACACACCCCAGGATTCACAAAACAAAAAGATCTCCATGTCGTCAATGTTATTGCATTCCTAGGCGGTATGTGACAACAGCCTTCAGCCCGGCCAGCATAGCTCAGTGGTTGAGCGTCGACCAAGGAACCAGGAGGTCACGGTTCGATTCCCGGTCAGGGCTCAGGCCCGGGTTGCAGGCTCCATCCCCAGTGGGGCGTGCAAGAGGCAGACGATCCATGGTTCTCTCTCATCATGGATGTTTCTCTCTTTCCCTCCATCTCTGAAATCAATAAAAATACATGTTTTAAAAAAAACAAAACAAAACCGGAACTGACACAGAATCCATACACACTTGGGAGACCTGGCAGTGGCGGGTTCTACCAGGTCTCCAAAGTGTGAGTGGCGAGTCCCCGGCTCCAGGGCTGAGCATCACAGGACCGAGAGGGAAAGAGGAGGAAGTAGGGTTGGGGAGTTGGGGTGGGGGGGAAGGCTCTGGAGACCAGCGGGAGTTAGGGGTGTGGGCAGAGAAAGAAGGGTTTGGGGAAGGGAAGAGAGAGGGTCTGACATCCCGCTGGGGATGGAGCCCGCAGCCTGGCCATGGGATTCGAACCGTGACCTCCTGGTTCATAGGTCCCCGCTCCACCCCTGAGCCACGCCGGCCATGCAGCTAATGAGGTCTCCTTTGACCCTGTGAGGTGCGTGCTGTGGACCCTGAGGAAGAAGGCACCTGCTGGGAAGGGTGACGAAGCAGACTCAAACTTCAAAAAGCAGACCCTAGCCAAAACCGGTGTGGCTCAGTGGATAGAGCATTGGTCTGAGGACTGAAAGGTCCCAGGTTCGATTCCAGTCAAGGGCATGTACCTTGGTTGCTGGCACATCCCCAGTGGGGGCTGTGCAAGAGGCAGCTGATCAATGTTTCTCTCTCATCGATGTTTCAAGCTCCCTCTCCTCTCCCTGCCTCTCGGTAAAAAAAAGAAAAAGAAAACAGATGCTGGCCGTCTTTGCCACGGGCCTTTCATGCAAATGGCACCTCGGGGAGAAGCCCGCACGGCGACCCCCCCCTCTCAGCAGCCCCTTATAAAGGAGCTCCTGGCATCCAGTTTCAACCAATAGGAGCAGGGCTTTCTCTCCCCAGCCAATAGGAGCTGCCCCTCAACATCTTCACCGACCAATCAGAGCAGCTCCATGCTGGCCAGGAAAGCACGGTAAGTGCCTGTTGAACCGATCAAACTTTGAGGATACAGAATCCCTGTTTGCATGACAACAGACCGGCAGGAACCAGGGGTAGGGATCTCTCTCTCTCTCTCTCTCTCTCTCTCTCTCTCTCTCTCTCTCTCTCTCAGCCAACTCCCACGGGAGCTGCACTTTCCCTTTCCACCAAAGGGGAAGGACTTTTTCCCAGGCTGAGCAGACCAAGGAGGAGCCAGCAGAGCAGAGCTGTCTGGGCGGAGCGGGCCTGGCCCCAGGGCTGCCTCACAGCTGTGCTGGATCAGAATCGAGCTGGGGTTTTTGTGTTATTTTATTGTTGTTGTTTTTTTTAAGTGTATTTTTACAGGAGGCCCAATGCAGGAAATTCATGCAGGATAGGCCTTCCTTCCCCCGCTGCTGCTGGCACCAGCTTCCCTCACAGCCCTGGCTTCATCCCGAAGGTCCCTGTCCGGTTTAATTAGCATATTACACTTTTAAAAAAATTATATATTTTATTGATTTTTTTTACAGAGAAGAAGAAGAGAGGGATAGAGAGTTAGAAACATCGATGAGAGAGAAACATCCATCAGCTGCCTCTTGCACACCCCCTACTGGGGATGTGCCCGCAACCAAGGTCCATGCCCTTGACCGGAATCGAACCTGGGACCTTTCAGTCCGCAGGCCGACGCTCTATCCGCTGAGCCAAACCGGGTTTTGGCAGCATATTACACTTTTATTATTATAGATTGATTTCAGAGAGGAAGGGAGAGAGAGAGGTAGACACATCCATGATGAGAGAGAATCATGGATCGGCTGCCTCCTGCATGCCCCCAGCTGGGGATCGAGCCCACAACCCGGGCCTGTGCCCTGACCTGGAATCAAACCCTGACCTTCTGGTTCATAGGTTGATGCTCAACCACGGAGCCACCTCGGCCAGGCTGCATTGAGCTGTTTTGCATTAAATATAGTTTCCTTCTTCATCGCACCCCGAATGGGATTCCTGTGGGTGTTGATTGGCACCAACCACCATTCCAGGACAGTAGCATATCGTCCCCATTTTGCAGATGACAAAACTGAGGCATGAGGCCAGGGAGCCTGCCCAGGGTCCGAGCAGAGTGGCAGCGCGGGGACGGGCACCCAGGCCAGCTGACTCCGGACTCTGGTCCCAGTATGGGTTCCCAGTTACCGCTGGGGTGTGGGGTTTAGGGAGGGGAGGGGACACATTCCCTGTTTGCTTTATACATTCCTGAACGTTCGCATGGTGTGTAACAGTCCTGCATTCTTTTTACAATTTGGAAAAGGGAGGGTTAGTGGGTGTGTTTTTTTAAGTCTAAATATTTTAGTGAAAAAATAAACACAATGGCGGGTGGTAATGC